GCCATTCGGCCATCTTGAATCAGATCGTGAAACAAATTGACCAATCTGATTAAAATCTGATGTAGGTGTACAGGCTTTAATTATTTTGGCTATAAACTTATTTTAATTTTATTTTTTATTACTTTTGTTATTAATGCCTTTTAATTTTATTATTTTACTTTGATTTTGATTTTGTGATTTTTTTGTTCAATTCCGCCCTACCTACATCTGACCCAATGCCTATGTAACAAGATTTCAACGAGACCCACTATCGACGATTTTAGTCAACGAATCACAGACCTCCTTCTATAGCGCACATGATGACGTCACCGGGCAAACACACTCAAATAAAATGGCGGATTATACCGACGTTAGCGACCGAGAATAACACAGCTTTTCGGTAAGTTTATCATTTTCAAATGCAACGAAAGTAATTTTTATGTTAATATTGTGGCTTGAATGGTTCGAGTTTAGATCATTATTTTGCGTAGTTATTCTGGGAGTGACGATTTTGTTTCCAGTGGTTCCACCGAACACCGGTGTCTTTTTCCAGTCGCTTGCCCTGGAGACAGGTGATGTTTTGTTGACGATCGGGCCAAACATCCGTCTACGGTATTGAAGCCGTAGCTGTAAATATTCATCAAAACGTATCAACATTTTGTACATTATACAATAACTCTTTATTAAAGTAATTGATCTGATTTGGACTGGAATAAAATATTTTTTATTTGGAACACATTGCAATTGATCAGGGAATATTTTGTTGCTCCAATTTTCTGCATCGATGCCGTGGGCCGGTGACCGTTATACAATGTAAAATCAGTTTGCATTGTTTACTATAGCTGTTTACAGTGTTCTAATCATTACGATTTACTTATTTGTTTGATTCCATTCTAGATAATTATGCTCAGTGTTTGATGTAAAATTGAAGCGACGACTGAATGAACGAACCTTGGCTGGCGAAGATGTATCTGGAAGTGTACACATATTCAATGTAATAACAACAATTGTAAAATGCTGTGGAATTTCTTTTGTAAATAAAAATATACTAGCAATTTCCTATTTATAGTTTATTCAAGTGGGCAAAGTATCGCTCCACTGAAAAGTAAGCAACCGACAGCCTGTATAAAATGGGGGCTGTGATTGGCTGTTACTTACGCAAGATTTGAACGGGACTTACATAGGCGTCGGATCAGATGTATGTAGGGCGGAATTAAAAAAACACAAAATCAAAATCAAACTAAAATAATAATAAAATAAAATGGCATTAATAACAAAAGTAATAAAAAAATAAATTAAAATAAGTTTATAGCCAAAATAATTAAAGCCCGTACACTACATCAGATTTTAATCAGATTGCAAATTGACGTGCATATGTATAATATCATGTATGATGTATGTGTAAAGTTTGATTGTGATTGGTTCAGGCATTTCTAAGATACAGGTCCGGAGGCACCACAGATGGACGCACACACGCACGCACGCACAGACACACGGAGGTCAAAACATAAGTCCCCGTTTTCGGACTGCGTCCGGACGGAGACTAATAATAACATAAACACTGCAAGCATAACATAAACACATTGTAGGCATAGCAACAACATACATATTATAGCAATACCGACATCAGCATATATATTGTAGACATGGCAATAACATAAATGTTGCAGAAGCAGGGCAACCACATTGTAGTCCTAACAACCACATGCACACTGTAGTCATAACAACCACATGCACACTGTAGTCATAACAACCACATGCACACTGTAGTCATAACAACCACATGCACACTGTAGCAACAACATAAGCATTGTAGTCATAGCAAGAACATAAGCAATGTAGGCAAAGCAACACAGAGCAAAGCAAAATTGTTTTACCTCAGCTGACTCGTATCTGCGTGACCTTGCTGGTGTTCCAGATGAGCTAGTTCTATGTTGTCTACCACTGGTACTCTGCGGTGTATCCTCATAATAGCTATTTACATCACTATCTGCACCACTCTCGTCATCACTGCGATCCCATTCATCAGATCCCCAACTTGATAGTGAATCAGTTTCCGGAAAGAGAGGATCCGTATTTAAAATGTCATCGTAGAGCAACTCGTCATCAATGAAGAAACCTGGAAACATTACAAATATTTAAGGTCAACAAGATATTTTATAATTACTTAATATATTCCAGCAACTTTCCATTCTGCATTGGTTACACATCAAATGGCACATACATTGTACCAAAGAACACAAGAACGTTCTATGAGCAAGACCCAATGAACTGATGCCTCACTCTCATAGAATTCGTTCATGTTGTACTCGACCATCTCCACATGTCGGGCGTTGCGGTGTGCCGCGGTCATGGTCAAATTTTATCATATTATATATTGTATATCATATTGTATACAAAATTTTCTGGTGAAATAAATCAATCAATATACAATCAACTGATGTCTCTCTTCCATAGAA